ACCAAGGCGGCTCGCTTCCAACCTAGTGCTTTGGCCGGCATCCAACCACACCACGTTGCCGACTACTTGAAATGGCGTGCGTATGGTACGACCGATGTTGACTTCAAAGACCTGGAGCTTACCGGTACTAATATGCATATGTCATACCGGTACTGGCAGGTAGCCAGCACGTGAAACCCTAAACTTATCCAGTTTACCACCAAAAGCGGTGTGGGGTCACGCTTGAAAAAGGGTCACGCTTTCTTACTGTTAGAAATCCGACATTGGTTCGTGCTTGACCAAACTGAGGCGCGCGTTGAGCAACAATTTTGGCAAACTCTGAAACTCGAAAGTCTCGATACCAGTACCCCAAAAGGCAAAAGGAGGAGTCGAGTCTTCGACTTCAGTTGTTGTATGGACAACACAATCGGCTGCCATTACCCCTCAGTATTTATGAAATGAAGCTCCTTCCGAAACGAAACAATGGTAGAAGGGTGTGGCATTCGTTGGCCATGTTCTCCCTGGGAATGATGGGAGGATACGTCATGAAGAGAGAATCGGATGCCATCTTTACCTATGCTCCCCGCCTATTGTCAGCTGATACCCTGGTGGAAGAGTTTGCCCAACAAATGCTACCAACAACTAGCAGTCAAGGTCAGCGAGAGGTACACATTTGCCATGAGAATCCGTACAAAGATTCTCTGCTACCCAACCACAGCTTTGCAACCGCAGAACTCAGGGCCCAGTTGTGGATGGCCAATAAAACCAACATTCGAAACGCACTTTACTTTGACAGTCATGACAAGAACACTCATGCCAAGTTTAATGCCTTTGACGTCATGGCACCGTGCCATCAAAACTGCACCGGTGACTGCGGGTCCGACGCCTCCAAAATCGTGTGTGGGATACAGCATTTGCAAGAGGGATGCATCGTCTACTCGATTGGGAGCAATAACAATTGGATATTCGAAGAGGAAATCTACAACATGACGCCCTGTCACATTCATACGTTTGATTGTACGGGGCCCAAACAACGCTTCCAGCCCCCTGCAATAATTCGCAATCGTCATACATTCCATCACATGTGTCTATCCTCGCATTCCGAGCCCACTCCTACCAAAATTGTACCAACTGGTAGAATTCGAAGCACCATCATGGGACCCATGGAGACACTGGAAGGGATGCAACGCATGCTCAACCACACTCGGTTGGACCTGCTAAAGATGGATGTGGAAGGCTACGAATTCCCACTATTCGAATCCTGGCCAGAATTGACCGATTTGACAGCATCTTCCAAAGTCTTTCTTCCCATGCAAGTTTTGGTGGAGATCCACTACTCGACCCATATGAAAGACCTTCGACCATCACAACCAGGAGTCCCCTTCAAGACTGAAATTGAGTTGGTGGCACTGCAAGAACATTTGTTGAAGATGGGCTATGTGGTGGCTGTGCGAGATGACAACCGACTGTGTCGTCATTGTACCGAGTTGACACTGTTGCGGCACAAATGCATCTAGCTAGCTACCGTAGTTTCTCGCTATCTCATGCCGCGACAATTTTTCCGTCACCAGGGTTGCAAGCAATGCCCAACAACGGTTGGGGTGCTGTACCAGACCATCACGAAACATTATTTCAGGTCACTTTGAGGTGCGGAGAAGATTCGATTCATTTCAGTTTGGGAGAAACGTATCCAGCAACTTGGATGAAATGATGTTGCAGCATAGAACTACGAAAGTATCCACACGTAATGCGATGAGCTTGCTTGTGCAAAAACACCGGCAGATGGCTGGTGCTTCATACATTTCCAAAGATGACATTTTCGAGATGGACAGACATGACCATGATGTATCATCTGTCCCCTCCAATGAAACCTGCCTCTTACCATAATAATAGGCAGCCCAAGCACTGATGATTCATTCCCATGGGGGGATGAAAAAGTCAAGCCAAACAACCAAAAAGTTAACACAGAGCCTAACTAGATAGCCTGTGGTTTAGTGCTTTGGCAGTTCGCGAACTGTCTCAGTAAAGAAAAATCTACTTAGCTAGTTCAGGCATTTTTTGCTCTGGTTGGACCTCTCACCATGCCATCTCCTCTCGTTGCACATGCCTCTTTGAGTCGAGTCATCCTCAATCGGTATGACGCTTGCTTCAACACTCAGCCAATCACTGCCGTGTGCCGTGTGGCTCGACACATTCGACGCCATCATCTCGCGGCTACCGGTACAATTGCAAGACTTGTAGAAATCCTTTTCTCCTTTTTGCAGGAACAGCTGCAGGAACACAAGGCTCTAGTACGGTACCAGAAGCTAGCTTGAGGAACGAGAGTGATATGTATTAAAGAGGGCTTGCCGATTGGTTGGCACCATAATCCCGAAGTAGCTTGCTAGCTTGAGCAACGTGAGTGAGGTATTAGGAGAGCTTTCCCATTGGTTGGTACTAGCTAGTATTACCATCGTTGCACATGCAACATGCACAATCGTTTCTGTTCTGTTGCCAAACTTTCGGAAAACCACATCAGCCCATCGCCTACATCGCCCACAACTCAATGATGTCACTCAAAATAAATATCCACGTCTCAACCAGCGAGCGTTCAGGGTGGGCGTTCTTATCTGGGACTGCTGTTTACAGTGATGTATCCGTTAGAATCCAATCTCGTCAGTGACGTTTCACTGGCACAGAATCTTTTCCTTGACTGCATTGCTGGAGCCCACGAGCCCACTTCCTACTGCTTCCGGCTTCTGCTTCCCTTTCAGGGAAGTTTCAAATTTTCTGACTTGGCTTGACATTGCGTCTTCAAACCTTGTTCTAGAAGTGTCAGGCAGTCATTGTTACAAATCTTGGCCGTCTTTTGCCCGAAGAAGAAGCAACCATGAGCTCCTTTACTGCTAATAATGAGCACCACGGTCCGTGGTCTCGTCTGAAGCGAGCTCTTTCCATGAGCTTTTCCTGCAGTCATCACCTCCTGCATCCCTTTTCCAAGCAGGCCAGTGCCTCCACACTGGACACCACCAATTCCTCCACTCGATCCATTCCCGATGAACCACTCTGTCCCGAACTCCCAGCGGTCGTTTGGGCTACTACCATTTTTGCGTATCTGGATCGATCGGGACAAGATCGACTGGCGATGGCGCATCCCGAAGTGGCCGCCATGAGACGGTCATTGCTGCTGCAAGATATGTTGCTGGATTGGCCCACGGGGAGTCTCACCAAGTTTTCGCGACCCGTCAAGAAAGTGGCATTGTCCCCCGACAACCAGCAGCTGTGCGTCGCCTACTGCAAATCCAAAGTGGTCATTTACGACAAACTCCGTGGTCCTCAGTATTGCTTGAAAGGACATGCCGGGATCATTGCCGACGTCAAATTTTCTCCTTCCTCCTCCGATAATAAAAATTCCATTCTGGCCACGGCGGGCAAAGGAGATGGTACCATTCGATTGTGGAGAAAACAAACCACGAATTCTTCTGCATCTGACTCTGTCAAGAAGAACAAGATTTCCAACAGAAAGAACCGGTTATCACCATCATCTTCTTCTCCTCCATCTTCTTCCTACCAGTGCTATCGAATCCTCCAAGTTCATCAACCCGATTTGAGGCACATGCTCTGGTCACCCTCGGGAACGCATATTGCCTCATGGGGTCAAGACGGTTCCGTCCGAGTATCGGACATTTCCGACGGCTCTCTCAAAACCCGACATTGGAAGACACGGTTCGAAGTCTCGCATTGTCACGAAACGGTCGCCTTTGGACCGGGCCATGAACTCGCCTATGCCCGCAACAATGATCGGCTCCACTTGTGGAACTGGAAACTTGACACGGTGCAATTGCTTGGAGGTTTGCACGATCCTCATGGGACCTACGCCGGTGGATACATTACCAGTGTCGCCTACTCGCCGGATGGATTGACCTTGGTCGTCGGATGTCATGTCGCCACTATTAAAATGTGGAGACTGGTGCCGCATCGGCGACAAGATGCTAACAACAATGACGAGGACGATGATGATGATGTGGAGTATGAGTATGTCTTTACCAAACAGCTACACTTGGGAGACGGTTGGAGTGCCGTGACCTTGTTGACGTTTACGCGAGACGGACGCTACCTGGCATGTTCCAATCATGGATCGCAGATTCGAATTGTCGATACCACCACGGATCAGATTTTGGCTACCTTCAAGGGTGGACACACGTCGCGCATTGAATCACTCTGCTTTTCCGCCGATGGACGGACATTGGCATCCGGTGCCTGCGATCGCACGGTGCGTCTCTGGGATACTTCGCGGCTCTTGTCGTCGTCGTCGACGACACCTTGAGAGAAGAAAGACTGTGCGTAGCCACACGGCTTTACAAATAATCGACATGGTGGTGCACTTTACTGCAACATCCTTTACATTGTCACGGTTGGCACGGCGACGACGCCGTGATGAACCGATTTCACTTAACGATCTACCTTGGAAACATGCATGTGAACAAAACACTCTTTTATTCTAGCTCTTCTATTGCATGTGCAGGATGGTATCTGTAGTTGGAAATCAGCGGTTGGGACGTCGGACCTTACATTATCAAACGAAGATGCTACCAGTACTTGATGGAGGAACGCGTCAACTGTACTGAGGTTGCTTGTTGGAAGGTAGCGGCCTCGTTTGCCCAGCCAGCTGCAGCCTGGACGAAAACGGCCGGCTACCAGAAGGCAGACGTGATGTATATCAGCTGCAACTCGGCACAGATCGGACACCTTGTTTGGCCGTGCCTAAGTACTGCTAGCTCATGTACACGGCTTATCTGCCTACCTGAGACCTTTGATTAGATTCTCATCAGAGCACCAAATGGCAGTGACCGATATCCTCGGTACAACCAACCCTTCAGAGGAGATTGTTCCTCCTGCCCCAGCTAGATATGGTATCCGACTCTCTCGTCTACTTTCTAAAGAACTACACAGTGTACTTAATGGAGGAACAGCTCGTTGCTTCTTTAAACTAACTAATAGCATCGTTTACCCCTCCAGCCTGGACGAATTAGGGTTGACTACAGTGGCGGAAGCTAACGCCTCTGGAAGAAACTTTTTTGGTGTTGATTGGGTTGTGATGCAGCTCGGTAGCTCGTCTCTCCTAGCCATCCAGGACATTGTTTCTCATCAGAGCACCGAAAGGCCAAAGGCACACTTGCCCGCTCCCGACGATGTTGATGATGAGGGCTGGCAATGCCTGGCTGGCTGAGTCCTATGCCGTCTGCAAAACAAAGGAAATAATGGAAACAGCAGACACCAGACTGGACTAACCTGGAGCTAAACTAGTTGTTGCACTTACTTTTAATACCATTAGACCACCGTACCTGAAGCGTCCTACCCCCAGCAGCTGTATCGGTACCGGTACAGCCAACCAGTCGGAGAAGATATTCCTCTACCGGTATTGCGCGACACTACCGGTATAACAAAACCTGTCATTGCTTTTCTGGATGAACGTACAATTTAATAAAGTTCCCTATTAGCATTCCCTATTTCATTTTTATTTATTTAAATTTATTCATTCATTCATTTGTTTATGATGTTTAAGCAGCATTCGAAACGACATTGTTTTGCATTGGCAAGATAGGCATCTGGTCCCTAGAAAGAGATTTTCGTGGTTGACGACGGGGGGCTCTCTTGGGCGAAGAAGACACAGTTCTTTTGATCCTTGGCGGGGCATCTTGTCCCTTCACTTGTCTGATCCTTCGGCTGCTGTCGTTGGGTGAATCGCTGCCCTTTCGGCTCCTCAGGCTACCCATGGAAGTAGACTTTTTGAGTGTTCTGCGTGCTTCAGTGTTGGATTTGTTCCTCAAAGCTTCCAGGCTCTCAAAAACGTGTTCTTCATTGCTGACACATCTTCGAGGAGGAGTTCTGCGGGGGGCATGATCTTGTGTTTCTTCCATTTGCCATTTTGCCCTCGCGGAACTCTGCATTCGGCGAAGGACGAGGCCACTGAGCGATCGTCGCAGAGGGCAGTTTGGTTTAGTTTCGGCTGCAGGTCCATTCAAAGGTTTGGCTGAAGATTCCACCGTGGCTTGGTGTTTGGTCCAGTCGTAGTATTGCATCATGATTTTTGTTGTTGCTGTTTTGGATTTGGATGTTTGTGAAATTGTGAGAGATGAAAGAAGAACCTTTTTGCCAGGCTCCAAACCCCGGTATAAATGAAGACTGCACCACGACCGGTACGATCAAGCAGCGTTCCATGCGGTATTCTAGGGTGAATCTGGAATGCGCAGAACCTAGTTGTGAATTAACCTCTGAGCCTCCCTCAGAACTTTTCCAGCTTTAGTATGGAAAAAAGAGTTGCTGATCTTCGCTAGTACCGGTGAAATCTATTCGCATGCAATTCTGAGCCTAACTAAGGCTTTAGACTTCTTCTTAGCTAAAAAAGTTGCTATTAATAAAAGTGCACTTCGAGAGGGCTCTTCGGAACAACAGAGCATTCCAGAGCTATTCGGCTGATTCGATTCTGGCTGGGATCTCGAATTCGCAACTCTTAAGTCACCTTAAATCCATGCGGTACCGGTACCGGCAAAACTCAGTACTCGTACCGGAACGATGGTAGTACTTGAGTGAGTAGGATGGTTGTAGGTTGTAGGTTGTTCTTGACGTCGTGGATTTGCCACTGTAGATTACATGTGTTGCAGACGTGGTGGTGCACTTTCCCCCCTTCATGCATGTCATTATGTGTGCTGTAGGGCTCAGATAGATGTGGAGATGGCATGAGATAACTGTGCTAAACTGTGCAACCTGACCAAAGCTGAAAACTGCTCAGCGTTCTGCATGAGCTCCGAGTTGGACTATCCCTATCATCTTCATTCAATCTGGCAATCCGACCTCAAGCCATACAGTGAATTCGCGAGGAGATCTAGTGCAAGCAACACCTGCAGTTCAAAACAAGCAATCAATAAATGGCTGACAGATTCCCAGTGGCAAAGGGGGCCAGAAAACGACCAACTTTGAGTCCGTAGCGAGTACCTGAGGCTTGTACCCTATGGAATCACGTAGACCGTGATTAGCCAGTGTGGTGGTTCATGGGTCTTTCTTCCACTCCTCGGTTCAAACATCGGGGCGCCGGCCACCATACATTTTTTACTCTGAAACTGGTAAGCTGCCTTTAGGCTGAATCCTCGCTCCGAGGATCGGTCCAACAGGCAGCAGTACGGTAGAGATCTACATACGCAGCCATTTGAAGGCAACAAGCAAAAGCAACAACCATTCATCAACCATTCATCCGCATCATGATTCAAGCTCCAGCGTGTCCAGTAAAATTGTCTGTTTGGATAACCGTGACCAGCGTTTGCATACTAGTAGCTCTACCGGATTAAAAATATACGGGCTTTTACAAAATTAAGGTTACGGGTTTCGGCTACCACCCTCCTTCTTTGACACCGAGACGATGAGAGATGAGGAGCATTCACCCGCTTGCTTGTCGGCTCCATTGCTCCATTGAAGAGCTAAACCAAGAGTGTTGAAGGTGTTGTCCTTGTCATCATTATCTGGTAGCTAGCTAGCCAGTAGTACAGAGGAGAGAATAGAATGAGTAGCAAATCAACAGACGATCCTCCCGCAAACAACAATGTGTGGGCCAGTCTGCCAGTGCCACTGTGTGATATCTTCGTACAGGAGATCGCACCGCAGTACCTGACAGTAGAGGATTTGATCCGCTTATCGGGATTATCGCGTCGCTATCGTGAGCTCTTTAGACCTACAAACAGCAGCAGCAGCAGTGGCTGTAGTTGTTCTTCTGGAACAAAAATCCTACAAGCTCAGCTGCTGCGAGATTCTTCTTGGAATTCCACCGTGAAAAACGTTAGAACTCCTCATTATCGAACGATCCATCAATTGCCCACCATTGGCAGCTTGACACCAGAAGAATCCATTCGAGAAGATCCCTTATTAGTGGCCCAACTCAGAAATGCAGCCTTGCGTCGTCGAGCTCTGGTACACATTCGACTTTTCGATACTACCCACCAGAATTCAGATTCTACTACCAACGCTACTACCAATGCAGCAGACCAACAAGAAGAAGAAAACAACAATAGTATTGATTATTATGAACCACTGGACGTACAACTGCATCACATCCTGTCCCAACACAAAGCCAAACGCGACACGGATATTATGAGGATTGCCCGCATGTACCACGTCCCACCTCGAGCCAATACCGAATTTCTCTGCATCAATCGGTCGGATCGAGATGTGTGGTGTCACTTTATTGATCACAGTGGAAGACTCGCGATTCGAGACGGGGATGGCATTTCCAGCATGACACAAGTAACGCAACAACAAAATGACGACTACTTGTCATCCTTTGTAGTCCCTCCCGATGGACGATTACCGCAGAATGGTAAGTGTGTGGTGTGGTTTCGAAAAGAAAACGTGCATGTAAATGAGAACTGCTGCATCCCAGCCTTGACGCAAATAATGTGTTCCACTCATTCATTCATTCATTTGTGAATACCAGTATTCCGCCATATCAGTGCCCTATCCCATGCCTTTGGCTTTTGCTGGCAAGAAGGAGGACCTCCATTTTTAATTTATCAACAGAATCGAAGCTGGCATCGTACGACCACGCGTGGTGTCACCATGCCCATTCATGCCATTGCATTGCATCCAGGTGGTGTCGTGGAAGAATTGCAATGTGGAAGCACATTTACATTTGATCGGGGAGGTTGGTTCACGGCCGGATTGTATCAGTTTGTAGATCGCAATACGGGCCAACGGTTTGCCACGGGGGCGGCACAACAGCCATTGCAGCAGGAGGAGGTCGTGGTGGCCATGAATCCGCGACGACAAGAACAAAGCGCAGAAGAAGATCATCCTGCAGACGAACAGCAACAAGCAGAACAACAACCACATGCAGTTCAACAACAATCCCACGCAGAGCAGCATGCAGAGCAGCAACAACCCACAACGAATGCCAACGAGGAGACACTACCTCCCATGGAGCGAGCCAAGGAACTAGCCAAAACGTTTTACGGGCTTCACGTCCCTTCCATTGAACACGAATGCTGGCTAGGGTTGGGCGGTGCTCAAGAGGTGTTGGGAGATCCCGCTGATCCTCTCAATCATCCCACTGCCATTAGCGCCGCGATACATCATCATGACAAGTTGCAACAGCAACAACAATAAGAAAACAACGACTACAGCACAAACAACAATGTTGACACTTGACAGCAGATGAAGCAACCGAGGATTGTTCATATTTCCAACATCGTTTCCTTTTCGTGACGACCACAAACGCCGCTGGCACAGTACCAGCGGTCAGAGCTACCGGTAGCGGGCTGGTAGAGGCGGGGTTTATTTGCTTCGCTTCAATACATTACGCGATTGCACCTCACACCGACCCTAGTGACACTGGCTAGCAACGATTTTCCTGGAGGATGTGCAGCCTAATATTAACTTAAGGATGTCCCACGGGGGATACAGTGCGTTTTAGTTTTAAGATTATATTTGCTCACTTTTTCGAAAGCTCTCCAAATAGATAAACTTTTCATTAGCTCTTATATCCACCCTATGATTTCGTGGGAATTTGGAACTTCCGACCTCCTCATTCCATCCTCGAAGCATGTCTCGCCATTCACCTCCGCTGAAATGTTGGCTTTGCGCCTCACAAAGTTGGCTGCCTGCTTGGCTAGCTATTGGCTTTTAGCTAACCATGAATGGAGGGACAGGCACATTCCCATCAATGAACATGTCGGCATTACCAAATTTCTTGCAGAGTGCCGTCACCAGACAACAGTAACAACCACAACCACAAATGCTACCATGGACAACAGTGGTAGAAGCAACAACTCCTCCTTGAGGAAGCTAGACCAGCACGGTCGGTTTGGTGGTCCAGCTTGGAATCGGCAACGTCTCAATACAGGATGTTCTGCGAAGGTTGATCTTGTGGAGGGAATTTTGCCGTTGCAAGGGTATCCACCACCATTGCCCGTCCCTGTAAAAGAAAAGTCACCACTCAAAATGACAAAGAGTCAGCGACATGTACACAGGACACTGCAGTTGACGATGATGATGTCCCAGATGTTGAAACCATGACAGAACCACCTCCACCTACCCGTGCCATAGTGGAAACAGCACCATTTTCCAAGCTAATCGAAGACAGTTGTGTCTGCAACCGATGTCACAAGGCCAATTCACTTCGCTTGAAGTTTGTTTCTGTTGGTGTTGCTACTACACCAGTACTTGAGTGTACGCAATGTGATCCCATGTTCAAGTCAAGGTCTGCCAGGACCAAAAGAACCACGCTTAGAAAGTCTGATGCACAGGGTGATGCCAACATTGACTTTGATATCAATGTCCGATTTGTACTTGCCTTTGTGGGTAGCGGAGATGGTGGAACGGAGGCAGCAAGGCTATTGAGCTTTCTGTCTCTTCCTGGAGCAAATTCAATGGAAAGGAGAACATTCTCTCAAATCGAGCGGCAGGTGGCTCCCTACGTGGAATACGTAGTAGAAGGGTACCTGCATGACAATTTGATGGAAGAGATAAGACTGACATATATTGGAAGGGAAGACGAGTTGAAGCAGTGGCATGACAGTATAGTCACAGGCCACTCACCTCCAGAAGGAACACAGCTTCCATTCATCGGAACTTCCACTGATATGGGATGGAATAAGCGATCCAGTGGCAGGACGTATGACTCCCATTCAGGTCATGCATGTCTGGTGGGAGAGAACATCTAAGAAGCGCAATTGTAGGTAATTCTGAAAACGAGACCTCAGGTCTCGTTTGGGAAGCACATCCCAACCTCTCCTTCCGAACCAAGTCCAAGGTTCCAATTAGGCAACCGGTGCTCCAGGTTGGGAAGTGACGTACTTTACAATCTATACTGGCAGGGGAAACAACTCAGTACGTGGTATGTTACCCTTTGTGCCATTGGTGTATCCAACCGTTAAGTCATTGTCTACTAAAAAGAAGTCACATCGCCATCCGTTTTTGGTGGTCAGAACATGAAGAATGCATTCCCAACAACAATAGATCCTGCACAGAGGGGCTATTAATCGCAGAGGCGTTACCTACCAAAACGGGAACTGCAGGTGGCAAGTTTCAACTAAAACCAGCTAAAACGAGAAAAGACTAGGATAAGAGTGGAATATCAAAAGCTAGTTGTTAACGCTAATCCAAATAGAGCAGTACTGAGTCACCAAAAAAGAGGATCACCGTAAAAGATCCTCATGGTGAAAGGGTGAAAAGGGGTGAAAAAGGCTACCAGATGGGCAACCACCACCGACCAAATTAACAGATCAGCAAAAGGAAAGGGAGGCAATGGGTACCGAAAAAGCACCGGAAGGCTTCCGAACAGAGAGAACTGGGCAACAAATTTCTCACAAAGCCCTGCCAAAAAGCACCAAGGGGAATCAAAAGGCGGCCAAGGGCTTCCCATTCAATGGGGCCTTGGCTGCCAATTGACAACCTGGAAGGACCCTAGTCACAGTCCACCGGGGTCGTGTGACAGGCAACTCCCCACAAGCTAGCTTGGGAGGTGGAGCCGTGGCTACATTGGTGGGCAGCTGGTTGGTAGCCAAGAGGGCATTGGTCAATCGTTGCTGGATGGCAATGGCATCCAGTCCTTGCTGGATGGCAGTGGCATCTTGCTTGGAACGAGTAGCCCTGTGGCGCTGCTGTTTCTTTGGGCTGTGGAGCCGTTGGGTACCAATAGCACTGTCACCAGTCGGCTTGTGGACGCCATCAGCACTGCCCATGGCTGACAGCGGAGTGGCATTGGTCGGCTGGTGGTGGGCCGCTGTAAGGGGCAAAGGACGAGTGCCTGGCGGCTCCCCATGAGCTGGCTGGGAAACTGCCTGGTGGTGCCTGGTCCAGGAAGCGGCTACATTCTGCCTGTGCTGCCTGGCCCTGTAGTCGCTACCGGTAGCTGCTTGCTGCCTGTGTTGTTCCATCGGTCCTCTAGCCCTGCTGTAGGCCATCATGCGTCCAGCGACATCAGTCACGTCGAAATTGAGCGACCGGATCTCCCACAGGAGAGTGTCTTTTGCCATCCCATGTCTTGAGTTGGATGGTGACATTGTTGCTATCGGTTGGAAACCACCTATGGCCTCAGCCATTTCATAGGCTGTTGGGGTAGCAATTGGCTTGGGAACAGGTGATGCCGGTGCCTTGTCAAGGATTGCAAAGGTGGATTGGTGCTGGCACGGGCATCGGTCTGAGTAGTGGCACCAGCATTGGTCTGAGTAGCTAGACATTGTGCCTCTTGTGTTGCCAAGGAAGAGGTGTACCTGTTGTGCTTGGGAAACAATGGAATCCAGCTGTTGTCGCAGAGCAATAAACCTTGACTCAACTGTAATCTGGAAACCACAAAGATGACTTCTTGGAATCTTGCTAGGGGCCTAGGAAATTCAAGCTGGTGGTAACCTTGACTCAACTGTACTTTGGAATGGCTGGCGACTCCCCACAAGCTGGCTTGGAAGATGACTGGTGGTTGGTTGTGGCACCGGCCAAAGGGCTAGTGGCATGCAACTCCCCACAGTCTGGCTTGGGAGCTAGATGCTGGGGGTCATCCTCAGGACTGCCAGTCGGTGGAACTGTGGCTACAGTGCACTTGTTGTTGGAAGCAAAGAGGGCCTCTGCCAGTCGCCGCTGTGTGGACTTGGCACTAGTGGCAGGCAACTCCCCACAATCGCGCTTGGGAGATGCGTGGTACCGGTTGTGCCTCCTAGTCCTGGAGGCGACTGCTTTCTGCCTGAGGGCGGCTGCTTTTCCGTTGATCTTCTCGAGGTTTCGACTAAGGGACTTGTCAAGCAGCTGACGAATGTACCACTGTCGCTCGTCAATGAGACTATCAAGGGTAGTGTCAAGGGCTTGGATAGAGGTGTGCTGCGCATCCAGACTCTTCATGATGGCCTGAACCGTATCCTCCCGGGTTGTAGGGGAAGTGTGGCTAGTTGTTCTTGGGCTAGCCTGTTTCCTTGGTTCTCTAGCCTCCGAGGCCTTCCGTGATGGTGGAGGAGTCACTGTGGGTATGTAGAGTGACGTAGTGAAAACGTTCCGTGGAATCCCTCAAGAGATAAGCCTCGAAATCAACAATAAATCCAAAGGTTCCACGTAAATCGCTCAAAGGATTGCAAAGCGATAAGCCCGTGCTGAAAGGAGATAAAGTGCTGTTGCGCTTGATAAGCGCCAAATTCCTCGAGACGTAAAAGCCTTGCACGATTGCCAAGATAGGTGCAAAATCAATAAGTCTCGAGTTCCCTCGGAGACTCCAGGCGTCCTAACGCGGTGACTTCTTCTTTCGAGTGGATTGGTTGCTTTTCGTGTCAACCGTGCTACTACCTCGAGTCAATGGCGTCGAGTGAAAGTGCTTGAGAATGTAGGTCCTTGAGCGGCAACAATGGGCTTTGTGGTGGACTGTGGATTAGTGGTGGACCAACTCCAAGGTTCCTGATGCTCTGGTGAAGGCTAGAGCTGTCAGAATTGACCAGAAGGTTGTTGAGTTAGGACTTCAAAAGTAGGCTTGAAATCACTACCAAATTCCAATGAAATCAACTGTAACTGTAGTGTACTAGTAGCAGTGATTGTTGTAATGCGGAGGGCTCCTTGTCAGCCTGGAGACTCTCCTTCCCTTAAAACTGCCTGAATTCTATGCGACTGTTAATCCAACAAGTTTCTAGAAGGTTCAGTTCCAATACCCAAGTAGTGGACTGGATCTCGCTGAAACCCTTCCTCAGGGACAGCGGTAGTCAGGCAGTTCAGGGAGCCTTGTCGTGCCTCAGGAGTATTCCAACACCTCCAGTAGGCACCAAACCAAGGACTTGGCCCTGTCAGTCAGACAGGAGGGCCAGCAGAGCTCTCTGCTGGACCCTTTTGGGCCAGCTCACCTCAGGAGCTGGGGGCCTTCGTTATTCAATCGTGCAGTGGCAGTCTGGGAACAGTACTATCTGCTACCTCCTACTGCTTCTGCCCGGCCTCAACAGGATTGGTATCAACTGCTGCGGTATCAAAGGGGCTACAAGCTAATCAGGATCGGTCTCAATCTTTCGTACTATTTTCTTAACTATGGTCGAAAGGACGATCCTTTCTTGCTGCTTTGGTTGGAGATAAGCCAGCTGCGGGTGCTGGAGCTGTAGGCCAGCATAGCTGTTGGAGCTATCTCTGACGGGATCCAGAGCTCTCGCTCCTAGACTTTATCGAGATCATCGTAGGAACGCTTGCCCTTCTTCTTCTTCTTGTTCACGGCATCCGGATCGGGCTCGTGGTCTTCCTTTCCACAAGATTGCAACATCCATTTCAGCATTTGTTGTTCTGCATCTTGGGCATTGGCTTGGCACGGGCATCCTGAACCTCAAGCTTGAGGGCATTGTAGCGCCTTCGGCCTGCATTGGACCAACCTCCATACTTGGCATTGCCCACCTTGGAGTTTGAGTACTTGGTAGCAAACTTTTTTGTCTCCGAGGCCTTGCTGCTCTTGGGGCAGTCCATTTCTTTCTGCCACAGTCATTGTCCCAGGCTGGAAGCAGAG